CCACATGGCCTGAGCCTGGGGCTTCCTTTCCCTCTGACCAGAGTAGGAGAGGATTGATCTCTTGGGCTGCCACTGAGGGCTCAGGTGGGGATGTAGAAGGGCCTGTGGGGACGAGGCAGTACCCAGAGTTTCTTCTACATTTCAGAGTCAGGAGGACATCACCTCTACAGCTGGTGGATCCTTTTTCAGGTAATGCAATGCTGCCAGGCTACTGGAATATGATGCAGGGGCACTTTGAACCACCTTCCTCCACATGGCCATCATGCAAGTAACATCCTCTGAAGCTTTAGGGCTGCTATCCCTTCGTAGATTACTATAAATGATTTCCAGCACTGCTAATTTTCCCAAGTACTGGATACCTTCATCTGCAGTGCTCCACTTTCCTGAGCAGTTCCTAAGATCTTCCTCGAAGGGATGCCTTGCCCTCGTGCTTGAGAGGAGCCATCTCCAGAGCCTGCAAGTTGCTCTTTCTTTTCCAATTCCTCCTTCAAGTTCCCAGTCTCTAGCAAGGGATCCCAGCTGTTTGGCTTTGTGACCTTCCTGACTACCAGCCCCATTATCCCAGCACTGAAGCAGCCAGGTAGGAATCCACTCACTGGGTTGGTAGCTGGAATCTTTCTGCAAGTCCCAGCGTTCTGATGAGCTCAGGGACTGGGTAACCTCAGTTTCCTGTTGGATTGGTCTCACTCCTTTAGATTTCTTTGTCAAAGGACTGGCCCCCTCCCCAGCTGATTCTCCCTCTTCTTCCCACACTAATGGATTTCATGGACCTGTAGCTTGCCTTATCCATTTTTTCCTGTTCACTGACTGCAGTTGTTGTGGTCCCAGTCCCTGTCTCAGCCACAGTGTCCCCCGTTGCAGTTTGGGTCCCTGCCTTCACTACTGAGAGTACTGAACTGTGGCTCCACAGGCACAGCCAGGCCCCAGTACAGGGCAAGAAGCTGCTGGTTTTCACTGGGATAGACAAGGCACCCTTCCATCAGGTGACATGCCAGTCTGCTGGGGTCAAATACCTGTTCAGGTGTGAAGTCCCAGGTAATGGGAGGTGTCAAACGCCCTGGGAACCTGCTCAAATCCTTCCACGCACCCTGCCACCTCAGGGCTCATCCCAATATATCCTAACCTAAAGTTTGTTCTCTTCTACACCAGGATACACCGGATTCCACAAGCTCCACAGTGTGCTGACAGTATTAGTTAGTAACAGCTCCCATAAGGATTAGCAAGGACCATGGGAGACTTCATTATAAAGCCATTCCTAACAATGCCAGGGAGGGGGGGAAGGACTAATCTTCCATCATCCCCAGAAGATGCTCCCCCAGCATGACAAGGCTGTCAGTGTGAGGGCAAAGCACCGAGCCCTTGTTTATACTGCTATGTTCCCAAAATTCAGCAAAATAAAGTGATGAGCAGCACAGCCAGCAAACTCCATGTCATATCCAGGAGCTTTGCTGTTCCATAGCTGCTGTCCCACCTTTGTCTGGCCTCACTTTGGGCACCAAAAAGGACTGTGGTGGGTTGACCTTGGCTGGATGCCAGTTGCCCACCCATCCACTCTATCACTGCCCTTCCCAGGAGGACAGGGGAGAGAGAATAAGATGGAAAAATGACTCGTAGGTTGAGATGAGTCACTTTACTAAAGCAAAAGCGAAAGTTTGTGTGCACAAGCGAAGCAGAAAATAACAAGATTTATTCTCTGCTTCCCATCAGTGAGCATTGTCCGGCCACTTCCCGGAAAGCAGGGCTACAGCACATGGAGCGGCTGCTCAGCAGGCAAACATTGTAAACAATGTCCTCCCCTTCCTCCTCCTTCCCTCAGCTTTCATATCTGAGCTGACACCATACGGTCTGGAATATCCCCTTGGTCAGTTTGGGTCAGCTGGCCTGGCTGTGTCCCCTGCAAGAAGGACTGTTACGGTGCTGGTGCTGTGCCAGCCCTGCTCCACAGCAGCCAAAACACCGGTGTGTGATCAACACCCTTTGCACTGACGCAAAGCACAGCACTGTGAGGGCTGCTGTGGGGAAATGAACCCCAGCTCGGCCAGGCCCAATACAGGAATAAACTCTTTATTGGCAAAACAAGGGTGTGGGTCTGTGTGTGCTGTCCGGGGGCTCTTCACCAATCCTGCCACAC